CTGTTAGTGACTAACAGCAGGGGGTGTGTAACGGCAGGCTATGTGGTAACAAGGCCTGGTGTGTGGGGTGGGGGGCTGGGACGTGGGAGAGTTTAGGCCCTAAAATTATTGAACTCAATATTGAGTCCGGAGAGCTGTAGGGTCCCCAAGCGGAAAATGAGATGTTGTTCCTCCAGCTTGCGTTGGGCTTCACTGGAACACTGTAGCAAGCCGGAGACAGAGATGTTGGCCAGGGAGCAGGGTGGTGCATTGAAGTGGCAGGCAACAGGCAGTTCAGGGTCTTTTTTGCAAGCAGAACGTAGATGTTCTGCAAAGCGGTCGCCAAGTCTACGCTTCGTTTCCCCAATGTAGAGGAAACCACATTGTGAGCAGCGAATGCAGTAGACTAGATTCTTGGAAGTGTTGCTTCACCTGGAAGGTATGTTTGGACCCTTGGATACTGGGGAGGGAGGAGGTAAATGCGCAGGTGTTGCACCTTTGCCGGTTACAAGGGAAGGTGCCGGAGGGCTGTGGGGAGGTGTTGGGGGTGAAGGAAGTATGGACCAGGGTGTCCCGGAGGGAACGGTCCCTGCGGAAGGTGGACAAGGGAGGGGAGGGGAATATGTGCCTGGTGGTGGGATCTTGCTGGAGGTGGCGGAAATGGCGTCTGATGATCTTCTGCATGTGGATGCTGGTGGGATGGTAGGTGAGGATAAGGGGAACCCTATCGTTGTTGCGGGAAGGAAGAGAAGGCATGACGGCAGAAGTGCAGGAGATGGGTCGGACCTGATTGAGGGCCCTGTTGACAACGGAGCTGGGGAATCCTCGGTTGAGGAAGAATGTGGACATTTTGGAGGTTCCCTTGTTGAAGTTGGCCTCATCTGAACATATGCGACGGAGACAGAGGAACTGAGAGAATGGGATGGAGTCTTTACAGGAAGTGGGTTGTGAGGATGAGTAGTCCAGGTAGCTGTGGGAGTCGGTGGGTTTGTAATGGATATTAGTGGCCAGTCTATCCCCAGAAATGGAAACAAAAATGTCAAGGAAGGGAAGGGAGGAGTCAGAGATAGACAAGGTGAAAATGAGGGCAGGGTGGAAATTGGAGGCAAAATTGATCAAGTTTTCCAATTCTCGATGAGAGAGGGAAGCAGCACCGATGATATCATCGATGTATCGGAGAAAGAGTTGTGGGTGGGGGCCGGAATAGGACTGGAACAAGGAATGTTCCATGTACCCCACGAAGAGACAGGCATAACTAGGGCCCATGGCAACCCCTCTTACCTGAAGAAAATGAGAGGAGTTGATAGAGAAGTTGTTGAGGGTGAGGACAAGCTCAGCCAAGCGGAGGAGGTTGGTGGTGGATGGGGATGGTTCAGGTCTTTGCTCCAGGAAGAAGCGGAGAGCCCTAAGACCCTCCTGGTGGGGAATGGATGTGTAAAGGGATTGCACACCCATGGTAAAGAGAAGGTGGCTGGAGCCGGTAAACTGGAAGCTTTGAAACCGGCGTAAGGCGTCAGATGAATCATGGATGTATGTGGGTAGGGATTGGACGGGGGGGAGAAGACTGAGTCAAGGTGGGAAGAGATGAGTTCTGTGGGGCACGAGCAGGCTGAAACAATGGGTCTACCTGGACAGTCCTGTTTGTGGATTTTTGGCAGGAGGTAGAAACGAGCTGTGCAGGTTTGGGGGACTATTAGCTTGGAAGTGGAGGGGGGGAGATCACCGGATGAAATGAGATCCGTAACCATAGTGAATACAATGACCTGATGTGCCATGGTGGGGTCATGGTCCAGGGGAAGGTAGGAGGAGGTATCTGAGAGCTGGCGCTCAGCCTCTGCAAGGTAGAGGTCAGTACGCCAGACTACAACAGCACCACCCTTATCGGCAGGCATGATGAGAAAGTTAGGGTTAGATCTGAGTGCACGGAGTGCAGTCAGTTCGGAGGGAGATAGGTTGGATTTGTTGAGAGGGGCAGTGAAACTGAGGCGACTGATGTCACGTCGACAGTTCTCAATGAAAAGATCGAGTGCAGGTAAAACGCCAGAGGGAGGGGTCCAGGTGGAGGGAGAGTGTTGGAGTTGGGCAAAGGGGTCTGTGGGGCAGGGAGAGGACTCTTGTCCAAAGAAATGAGCACGGAGGCGAAGACAGCGGAAGAAGAGTTTGGCGTCATGTCGTGCCTGAAATTCGTTAAGGTGGGGATGCAGGGGGATAAAGCTGAGGCCTTTGCTGAGTACGGAGCGTTCAGCATCAGAGAGCGGAAGGTTAGGAGGGATGGTGAATACCTGACAGGAAGTGGGGGGGTTGGGGGAAGGGATAGAGTCAGAGGGAAGGTGAGAATAGGTAGGTTTCAGAGGGCCATGAGTATTTTTGAGTTGGTGCATCTTGTGGGCCTTGATGCCTGAAAGGAAAAGAAAAAGTATCTTTTTAGCACGACAAATGAGCCGGAGGATGAAGTGGAACTGCGGAGTGGTGCAGCCCTGAGCCAGTGTGTTATGATGCTGTTGGAGAGAAAGGTTGAGAGTGCGCATGTGGCGCCACATGGCACTGGGTGTGGATCTCAGGATGTGGCAAGAGCAGCTGTCTGTGGAACGTTGAACGTCATGGAGGTATCTGTGATCCTGGGAGAATTCAAAACATGAGGGATGAAACTTCAGTTGGAATCCACGTGGGTGAGTCTGAGCCGGAGGCAGTCACTGAGGAATGTGATATGGCTGTGGAAACGAGTTTTAGCAAATACCTGGTCAAACACCATGAGTGACAGTGAAATTATTGTCGGTGGGCAAGAAGAGAGATTGGAACGGAAATCCCATTGGAGAGAGGAGCAGAACTTCTTCAATGTGGGCATGCCTGGAAGAGATGTGGCAGTGAGTTAAATACTAAATAAAAACCAGATGCTGTAAATCAGGAACAAAAACAAAGTTGCTGGAAAAGCTCAGCAGGTCTGGCAGCATCTGTGGAGGAGAAAACAGAGTTAATGTTTCAGGTCCGGTGACCCTTCCTCAGAACTGATGGTGGCTGGGAAAATGTCAGTTTATATGCAGAAAATAGGGAGGTGGGTGGGGTAGGGAGTAAATGATAGGATAGAGCCCAAAGAGACAGAAAGACAGTTGGACAGACAAAGGAGTTGCTAACAATCAGGCTGGGAGGGTGAATAATTGTTAATGGGGACTGTTAGTGACTAACAACAGTTTCTTCCTGGAGCAAAGACCTGAACCATCCCCACCCACCACCACCCTCCTCCGCTTGGCTGAGCTTGTCCTCACCCTCAACAACTTCTCTATCAACTCCTCTCATTTTCTTCAGGTAAGAGGGGTTGCCGTGGTGTACGTGGAACATTCCTTTTCCAGTCCTATTCCGGCCCCCACCCACAACTCTTTCTCCGATACATTGATGATATCATCGGTGCTGCTTCCCTCTCTCATCGAGAATTGGAAAACTTCATCAATTTTGCCTCCAATTTCCACCTTGCCCTCACTTTCACCTGGTCTATCTCTGACTCCTCCCTTCCCTTCCTTGACATTTCTGTTTCCATTTCATGGCCACTAATATCCATTACAAACCCACCAACTCCCACAGCTACCTGGACTACACATCCTCACACCCCACTTCCTGTAAAGACTCCATCCCATTCTCTCAGTTCCTCCATCTCCGTCGCATATGTTCAGATGAGGCCAACTTCGACAAGGGAGCCTCCGAAATGTCCACATTCTTCCTCAACCGAGGATTCCCCAGCTCCGTTGTCGACAGGGCCCTCAATTGGGTCCGACCCATATCCCGCACTTCTGCCGTCATCCCTTCTCTTCCCTCCCGCAACAGCGATAGGGTTCCCCTTATCCTCACCTACCATCCCACCAGCATCCACATGCAGAAGATCATCAGACGCCATTTCCGCCACCTCCAGCAAGATCCCACCACCAGGCACATATTCCCCTCCCCTCCCTTGTCCACCTTCCGCAGGGACCGTTCCCTCCGGGACACCCTGGTCCATACTTCCTTCACCCCCAACACCTCCCCACAGCCATCCGGCACCTTCCCTTGTAACCGGCAAAGGTGCAACACCTGCGCATTTACCTCCTCCCTCCCCAGTATCCAAGGGTCCAAACATACCTTCCAGGTGAAGCAACACTTCCAAGAATCTAGTCTACTGCATTCGCTGCTCACAATGTGGTTTCCTCTATATTGGGGAAACGAAACGTAGACTTGGTGACCGCTTCGCAGATCATCTACATTCTGCTCGCAAAAAAGACCCTGAACTACCTGTTGCCTGCCATTTCAATGCACCACCCTGCTCTCTGGCCAACATCTCTGTCTCCGGCTTGCTACAGTGTTCCAGTGAAGCCCAATGCAAACTGGAGGAACAACACCTCATTTTCCGCTTGGGGACCCTACAGCCCTCCGGACTCAATATTGAGTTCAATAATTTTAGGGCCTAAACTCTCCCATGTCCCAGGCCCCCACCCCACACACCAGGCCTTGTTACCACATAGCCTGCCACTACACACCCCCTGTTGTTAGTCACTAACAGTCCCCAATAACAACTATTCACCCTCCCAGCCTGATCGTTAGCAACTCCTTTGTCTGTCCCACTGTCTTTCTCTCTCTTCGGGCTCTATCCTATCATTTACTCCCTACCCCACCCACCTCCCTATTTTCTGCATTTAAACTGACGTTTTCCCAGCCACCATCAGTTCTGAGGAAGGGTCACCGGACCCGAAACGTTAACTCTGTTTTCTCCTCCACAGATGCTGCCAGACCTGCTGAGCTTTTCCGGCAACTTTGTTTTTGTTCCTGATTTACAGCATCCGCAGTTCTTTTGGTTTTTTCTTTTGCTCATGTTGTCAATATTTTGACCCTTTATTATTTATCATGTCTTTGGTTACCTTTATGTTCTATGTTTTACAATAATATGAAGGAAATTGTGCAGCATTGGTTTCGATCAAGTTGCCAGTCAGTGGTACCCTTGTTGGGGTATGTTGTTACCTGGGGTAACAGTATTTGTTTTGTCCTGTTTATTTATCCAGCTGCGGTAATGTATATTAACAGCATGAGTGTCAGCTGGACTGCACGGCTACAGATCTTTTTGACATTCTGCAAACTTGCTGCCATTTTAATAATCATCTTCCCTGGAATGATGTCTTTATTCAAAGGTAAGCAGTTGCAATACACTTTTTTCATTTTAGAACTCTTGCAGAGCCACTGAATGTTCTACGATGACGAATTACAAATAGTCTTTCTCTGCTGCTTTTGTTAATATCACTCCCATTAAACATTGCTGTTTCGTCTTCATTTGTGATGGAGAAGTCTTATCAGTTGTCATATTTTACTTCAAATCTATCAAAAATGGCATTATCTTAAGTAAAGGGTCTATTACTGTGACAGCTGAACTACTTTTATTCTGTACTGCAAATTTACTTTCAGTGATATGATTTGCTTACACTGCCTGAAGTACTGAAAGGATTTTTGATATTAAGAATTTCTGGAAACAAAGGCAGATATACCTGATTTTTAAACAGACTGCTTGGTGAGATCGGACATTACAGTGGACCGCAAGACCACACCAATTTTTTGAAGTGACAGCATTGCTATTCGAAAATGATTGGTATTGATCAACAATGTGACATTATGATAGTGTGATTTGTGGCATGCCAAGAAGATGCAGTATGTCAGTTAAGTACCACTGGGACATTTTGCACTAAAAGAAAATAAAAGACATGCATTTATATCGCACCTTTCACAACGTCTTACCATTTCAAAGCGCTTTGAAGCCGGTGAATTGCAAAGTGCTTCATTGTTGTAAAGTAGGAAATGTGGCAAACAATTTGCACAAAACAAGATTCCATAAATGGTAGCATGTTAATGACCAGATAATGTTTACGTGGGATAATATTTAGCAAGACACCAGGTACAATTCTGCTGCTTGTCTTCCAAATAAAGCCTTTTATGTCCACCTTAGAGGGCAAACAGGACCTTGTTTTAATATTTCCTCCAAAAGATAACAGCTGGAATCTTCTGCCCCTGGCTGTGATGAGCTTTGATGCGGGAAGCCACATTGTTTTCCTATTGCTTTCTCTGTTGGAGATAAGTCCTGGGTAAGAAGGCCCATGTTAATCTTCCTCGCTTACAATCAGTTGAGGTCCTTAAGTGGCAATAAATAACTGCCTAGAGGACTCAGCCTGTCACTACTGCGATTAACTCAGTGAGTCTTTGCCATGTGCCCCAGAGAGTAGCTAGCGACTGCTGGGTGATTGTGGGGTGGGGATGCTGTCGGTAGTCATCCCCTCAATCATAGACAATCAGTGCCTCATTGAGGGACTAGATATTGGATAGGGTAGCCTGCCGAAAGCCAGCCCTGCCCTTATTTCTGAGTTCGCTGCTCCAATGCATATCCCAACCAAAGCAAACCCCCTGTCCCCAAATTGCTCACCTTTGTCCTGAGACCCTGGAGGTGCACTTTCTGCAGCAGCCAGAGCCTCCTCTGTGCCACTTTAATTGAAGAGGAACAAGGATGTCTTACTGGCTGAGGATTTAGCAACGGTTCAGATTCCTGACCCCAGTTTGAAAACTTTGCCAGGAGCACAAAATCTAGACAGACGCTTCAGCCCAGTGAGGGGCAAGTGCTGCACTGTCAGAAATTCAGTCCTCTGAATGAGAAGTTAAACAGCAAAATCTAAGATGGATGTAAAATCTCTGACAGACACTTTTTGATCAAGAGCAGGGGGAGTTATTGCTGAAAACCTAAATATTGTGTGTCTCCCAATGAACATTGCAAAACTATATTATTCAGTCATTATCCCATTGGTGTTTGTGGAAGCTAGTTGTGCACAAATTGGATGCTGCCAAGTCCTAAGTTACACCGAAAACTGTACAATGTATATACATCATTGGCTGTGAAGTACGTTGGGACCTATTGATGTTACAAAAATGCTACATAAATGCAGATCTTATTTTCCAGTCAGTATGAAGGATACACAGCATTACTAATCATGAATGGTTTTGTTTATGATTAATCAGATTGCTTGCCTGTATCAGCCTCTGTAATCATATTTACGATGTTCCTGCTTATCTTCTTTCCTTTCACATTCCACAGGAGAAACACAACATTTCAATCAGCCATTTCAAACAAAAGAATTTAACCTTATGGGAGTTCCTCTTGCTTTCTATTCTGGAATGTATGCATATTCTGGATGGTAAGAGCTCTCAGTCTCTGTACATAAAGGTGCAAAAGAACAGAATTGAGAAGAAAAGTGATCTTTACAGAAGAAAAATGTTCTTAGCACACTAAAGCTAAACTCCTGAGATTATGCTCGCAATTACATTTCCACGATAACTTAAATAATTGTGTTGAATGATTTTTGTTTAAACTGCAGGATGTTGTGTTTTATAAGATTGTCCTCAAACTATTCATTTTTGTTTTATCCAGGTTTTACATGAATTTTGTCACAGAAGAAGTAGAAAATCCTGATAAGTAAGTCTCTGAAATCAATTTTATTTGAAGCAATTGTCTTTGAGAAAAGATTCACATGCTTCAGGATAATATTGTTTACCTGCACTAGCATGAAAGATGGTGTATCACATAGTGTCCAACACAAAATCTACTTTCATCTTCTGCTGGGAGAGTGGTAAAATAAAGAAACTACACAGATGCAAGAAAAATAATCTTTTAAATTAATTTCTGAGGTGGGGAGGAAGTTAAAGTAACAGAAACGGGATCAGAGAATGGAGTGGATTAAGACACAGTGCAATCTGTGGTACTACCTGTGCCATTTTGAGATTTGAACTTCATTAATATGCAAACACACACTGCTCCAGTTTACAGAGATAGTAGGAACTGCAGATGCTGGAGAATCCGAGACAACAAGGTGCAAGGCTGGATGAACACAGCAGGCCAAGCAGCATCATAGGAGCAGAGAGGCTGACGTTTCGGGCCTAGACCCAGTTTACGATCAGTTATGAGAAGGTGGGAAATTAACCATCTCCCGTGCCAATCCAAGTCACATTCAAACTGGAGTGGCAGGGTAGAGGGAATCCTAAGAAGGACCTTGGCAGCTTCCCTCCAGAGTATTACCCAGGGCCTCTAGCTTGCTAGCACAATGACGTTACCACTATCCTACTGTTTACCCAAAAGTTGATGCTCAAAGAGTCATACAGCACAGAAATGGACCCTTCAGTCCAACCAGTCCATGCCGAACATAATCCCAAACTAAACTGGTCCCTGGAACCTGAGTTCAAATCCAGCTCAGATGAATGCAATGAGAGTCTTGTTTGCTCTCTAAGGATCTGAGACAAGTACTTGTGAATTGAGTTCAGCTAGGCACAATCCTGTTTGCATTTCTTGTTTGTCCAGAAATTTAATCAGCCTGTTTAACTAAGAGTTTTATGGATAAATGAATAACTGCATGAACAGGACAACCTTCCAGAACTTACTATTTTGAATGTTTAGAGGGCCAGTTGTGACGACTCTCTAATGTAGTTTTGCCACAACTGGAAGTTCATATCCATAGGCGTATTACATTTACGGTGTTAGTGACTTCAATATTGATGCTGCACCATAAATTCACGTATCTTGTGTTGCTTACCTAGAACCTGGTCATGACCATCCAAAGTTATTACCATATTTCCACTGCAATCTTTGGCTTAGTTAAAGGCCTATCACAAATTTCCTGGATTTACATCATTTTATGGGCCATAGCTACTGAGGTTGTAAACTAATGGCACAAGTACACTTAAATTTATTGGCTCAAAGTAATTGATAAATGCATGACAAAATTAATGATCATTCATAATGTTTTAATCATTAGCTAAAACTCATTGAAATACTTCTTTATCATTGTGTCTCAGATTTAATGTCTATTAAGAATATTGCAGAGGACACTGAAGTGTCTGCGCATACCAAAGCAAGTGTGGAGCAGAAATGCAAAAATGCAGCGCAATCAAGAAGCTGTAGGTCCAAGACCTTTTTAAGATCTAATCTCATCTGAATATTTCTAGTGAGTTGCAAATGTCTGTCAGGTAGTCAAGATGGATCACCATTTTAGACAAGTGACAGACCTTAGATTGGAAGTGGGATTCAGTAGAGGTGAACAGTGGAGGTTTGGGGTAGACAGTTTGAGGGGACAGCTGGTGGCCATGCTGAGGTGAATGGAGGACAGCAGCAACCTACAGCAATAAAAATCCTGACTAAATAACTCAAGAGAAAAACTATTTCATGTTTGTGACCTTCAGCAGTCCCACTGTGGATATCTGGGAGTTCGAGAATCTGAACAGTGTACATGGGTTCACATAGTGCTCCATTTCTGAGCCAGAATGGAAAAAGTCTTTAAACACAACCTTATTTGCATGGATAATGGATCTAGCACTGCTTTAATGCTTGCATTTGGAGATATTTGAATATTACCTGACGTTTTATAATGGGTGGCACATTTCAGACATCTTTAGGGTGCAGGACATAGTCCCTCAAAGTAGGACCTTCAAGCGCCTGCAGCACACTTGAGCAGTGGACAAAATAAGGTCACATTTTACATTCAGCACCATAAGCCATAGTTGTTTTATCTGAGGCTGCTTAGGTAGGAGATATTACTAACTTAGATAGGATCTGAAAATTGAATGCATTGAAAATTGAACTGATTGTGTTCACAATTCTAAAAGATTTCTCTGGATGGTTGCACTGTTACCAAGATCCCTCATTCACCATTCTGCTTGCAGTGATATGCTTAAATGACTGTTCCAGGAAAATTTAAAGTATGTTCATGAAAAGAATTTCAGGAACTCCTCACCAGTACAGTGATTAGTGTCCCACCTGACACGCTGGAGACCCGGGAGTATGTGCAATAGCTGAGTTAGGCAGTGCGCAAGTAAGAGGAAGTTCTTTCGGGTAACTCTGTCACTCAATGGTTAGCACTGCTGCCTCATTGTGCCAGTGACCTGAGGTCAATTCTAGCCTTGGGTAACTCTCTGTGTGGAGTTTGCACATTCTCCCCATGTCTGCATGGGTTTCCTCCGAGTGCTCTGGTTTCCCCATACTGTCCAAAAATGTATAGGTTAGGCAGATTGGCTGTGCTAAATTTCCCATCGTGTCCAGGGAAGCATAGGCTAGGTGGATTAGCCTTGGGAAATGCAGGGTTATAAGGATGGGTTCAGTCTATTTGGAATACTCTTTGGAGGTGCGATATGGACTTGATGGGCTGAATTGCCTGTTTCCACACTGTAGGCATTCTATAAAGCAAGAAACTGTGTAATTTATGGTGTAAATCAAAGATAACGACATTCCAGAAAAGTCTGGAACACAGTTTATCAAACTACTTTGATAACTGAATGGATTAGTAACAATGTCAAGCTCAGTGTCTGCATTGAGAATTTAAGTTCTATGTCAATGTAAAGTTCTAAAGCTAAACTAACTCTCTAAGTAAACTCTAAACTTCTGAACTGAAATGCCCTCGAGCACTTTAAATCTAACTTAACTCAAGCCTATATTTTAACACTAGGAGACACTAAATTTTGTGCACAGAGAGTGGATTCTGTAGTAGGAAAAATATGCCCTTTTACTTGAGGAAATTATGTTTTTATGTTGGTGATGAGGAACATTAGTGGAACATGATCAGGAGGACTTAACTCTGAATCTAACTCATGCTGTTTCTCTGCACATAATTCCTTAATGCTTACCCTAAGCAAAGAAAAACAAGAAAATGGTCAATTCCTCGGTAATATCTTCCATCATTGGCTGACGTAAAAAAACAGTTGTTGGTGAAAAATGCATAATTAAGGCACCTGATGATAATATCAGAAGATAGAGTTAAGCAAATAACCAGTTAATTCACTCAAACTGATGATTTAAGTTCTCATTTAGACTTTATTGTGGCATCTTATGTGACATCTACCATATAAAGTAAAGGAGGTACAATTGAAAATACTTGCTATTTAGCCATCAGTAGTTTTTACTTCAATAGTTATTTACTTCCAAGTGACAAGCACTTAAAGTAAATACAGGGTGGAATCTCCTCGTCCTTTACCCTCTCAAAGTATAGCAGTCACAGTGTTGAGAATAGAGGGATATGTTGTGCCGAAAGCCTCATAGAGGCAAGAAACGCGTGATGAGACATTGTGGAATTTTCTCAGTGAGAAAAACAGAAGGGAGTTGAAGTTGTTTGACAGTATTTTTACAAACTAGCAATGTATTTGCAAATATGCCTCTTGCATTGGCTAAACATATGCTCTTTTATATTATAGTTTTTGATATACTGCGAGTGAAAATAGTCTCCGGCACTAGAGCAAAATAGACAATATTAAATCAGTCACCTACGCTGTCTGATTTTCCTTTCATTGACTTTAGTGAAAAAGAAAACCACGCAAAAGCAGGCTGCCAGATTATCACCCATTATTTCAGAAAAAGAGTAATCTTTAATTTTGTGTAACTGTTACTTTCCTCAGTGGAATTCCATGGCTCGTATTAAGATGTGCCAAAATCATAATTTTAAAAACGTACAAGCCAAAATAAGTTACTATAATATGAAGACTGATAGGCAACTTGGAGCAAACACAGACAATGACATGCAATAGGACTTCAACAACACATCATTTTAACTCCAAGATTATTACTACTGCAGTCTCCTCTTTTTTCAAAGCAATAGACATATACTTAGTGACCTAGTGAATCAAATAACTGGACTGTAGGAAGGGCTTTAAAATCGTTAGTGGTGGGAATGGTGTGGGAGAAGGGAGATGTAAGCTTACAAAGCAAGACAATATAGCAGAATTACACGGCAGGAATTTTAATATCACTATGCAGAGTGGAACATGAAGGGACAGAGTACTCAAATAGGAAAACAGCAGTAAATAGGGTCAAAAGGGGAAAAAAAAGTTGTTAATAAAAAGCCAAATTACCTTCTCTTAACCATGGTTAACCAGATATGTTAAGGATAGCATCAAACTGAACAAAAAAAACATACAATGTGTCAAAGATTAGTGACAGGCCAGAAGTTTGGAAAAGTTTTTTTTAAATGAAAGAGGTAATAATGAGGGAGAAGATAAACTTTCAGGTAAACTTGCAACTGATATCAAAGTGGACAGCAAGAGCTTCTCTAGATACATTGAAAAAAGGGAAGAGAAAGGCTAAAGTTAGCATAGGCCCCTTACAGAATGAGTCTGGGAGGAATAATAATTAGGAGCTAAAACAAGGCAGAAGTATTGAATAAATAAATTGCATCACTTCTCATGGTAGCAGATAATAAGAGCATTCTGAAAATAATGAATTGTCAAGAGTCTAAAGTGGGGAAGAGTAAATAAATATAATAATTATCATTAGAGAAAAATTATTAAATAAACTAATGGTGCTAATGACTATTAGGTCCCTCGGATCTGATGAGAACTAAGATATTAAAAGAAGTAGCAATAAGGTTAGTAGATGCACCGATAATAATCTTCCACGAATCCTTGGATTCTGGAAAGGTCCCAGAGGTTTGGAAAGCTCTC